GCTACTCGCCAAAGTAAGAGGTGGAACAATGTTTTGTGTAGTATGTTATGCCAGTTGAACTTGATGTCTCCTGTGACTATGGTCCCAAGCCCACAGATTCAACTACTCTGTCCCTCTGGGTAGCTGGCTGTGACCAAGAAGTGACTACAACTTTGTCCCTTGTCAGCTCTACTATATACCTGGGAATTCAGGTCATACAAATATACTTATAGGACTACTGTCTGCCAACCCTATACATGGTCTTGGGTACACTCTCCACTTCATAGACATACCTAACAGTACAGCCTCTCCACCCATCTATCCACCTGTATACCTATGTTTGCCTTCACTGACAATGCAATACTGTATGTGCAAAAGGGGTCATCTTTGTTGTCTGTACTTCCCATGTACCTCTCTATGTTTTCTTCTTCCTCAAAATTCTACCATGTTGATCACTCACATTTGGTACATTGCCCTTCTCTTCACCTAAATCAATACTTATCTCTGCCTCCCATCCCCTCCCACACTTGGTAACCAACAAAGAAAATTTCCTTCCATAGATAAACCTTTCCTTGATTTTTACTATAACAGACTAATACAATATTTGTCCCTATGTGATTGACTTATATCACTCAGCACAATGTCCTCTAAGTTCATCCACACTATGCAGTGCTTTGCAGATTCTCGGTTATTCTTTAGGGTTGCATAGTATTCTGTTGTGTGTATGTACCAAAGTTTGGTTGTCCATTCCTCAGTTGATGGACACCTAGGTTGTTTCCATCTTTTGGCTTTTATAAATAGTGCTGCAGTGAACATGGGTGTGCATATGTCTGTTCTTGTCATGGCTCTTACTTCTTTAGAAGACATACCTAGTAATGGAATGGAAGGATCAAATGGTATTTCTAATTCCAACTTTTTAAAGAATTGCCATACTGCTTTCCACAGTGGTTGTTCCATTTCACAGTCCCACCAGCAGTGTATGAGAGCCCCAATCTCTCCACATCCTTCCCAGCATTTGTTATTTTCTATCTTGTTGAACTTTGCTACTAGTGCTGGAGCAAGATGGTATCTCATTGTT